TAACAGAAGAAAACCCTATTCTAATTCCAACCTCTGACCTCATTCAATAATCATTGGCTTGATTCCATTTATGAATCAAGCTCTGTTAGCAGCTTCATGTGGGGACACCCTGTTCTGATGAAGATCATCTTCTGGGACACAGTGATACTTCGTTTAAGTTTAGGAAGCAGAGAAGAGGACTGGGGTAAATCAGAGGTGGGTGTCAAGACATCCACTGGAGAGAAAGGGAAAAAGGACTCAGGAGAAAATTTTAAAGTCACAGGAGTTTTTGGATACGGTAAGTGATAAAAAGTGCCTGATGACCTCTGCAGATCTGACCACTTTTTCTGAAAAAGAAATGTTCATGATTTAAGAGTCATTATAATGAAAGATAACATCTTTCAGCTATTAAGGAATAATATTAAGGCAAAGATGAGACAAGATAATCATTCCCTACTTTGGCGTTGTGGGGTAGAAGGAAGAAGACTATATAAACTAGGTCAAAACTGAATATTAAAAGTGCTCGGCTGCCTGTAATCCCAGCACTTTGGGAGGCTGAGGCAGGCAGATCACGAAGTCAGGATACGGAGACCATCCTGGCTAACATGGTGAAACCCCGTCTCTACTAGAAATACAAAAAATTAGCCCGGCACAGTGGCGGGTGCCTGTAGTCCCAGCTACTCGGGAGGCTGAGGCAGCAGAAGGGCGTGAATCCAGGAGGCGGAGCTTGCAGTGAGCCGAGATCGCACCACTGCACTCCAGCCGGGGCGACAGAGCAGGACTCCGTCTCAGAAAAGAAAAAAGAAAAAAAAGCGCTCAGCTGGGCGTGGTAGCTCACGCCTGTAATCCCAGCAGTTTGGGAGGCTGAGGTGGGCAGATCACGAGGTCAGGAGATCAAGACCATCCTGGCCAACATGGAGAAACCCCATCTCTACTAAAAAAATATATAAAATTAGCTGGGTGTGGTCATGCGTGCCTGTAGTCCCAGCTACTTGGGAGGCTGAGGCAGGGGAATCACTTGAACTCGGAAGGCAGAAGTTGCAGTGAGCCAAGATTGTGCCACTGCACTCCAGCCTGGCAACAGAGCGAGGCTCCGTCTCAAAAAATAAAAATAAAAAATAAATTTAAAAAAATAAGTGCTCATACTCTTTGTACTAGTAAGTCTATTACTAGAAATTATTCTTAGGATAGTAAGATGTGGACAGTTTTACAAGCAAACGTTCACTGTAATATTTATAATAGTAGTAACTAATAAAGGATTTGTTAACACAGTAGTACATTTTTACAATAGTTTTATGTATCCTTTAAACATTTATGAAAAGTTTCAGTGAGATAGTGTATGCATGATACAAAATTAGTGAAGGCAGTATTCTCCTTGGAAACAACAAAAGAATAGCTGGAAATAACAACTAATATGTTGAATTTTCTGGAAAGTTGGGGACCAAGTTGCAAAAATACATTTCTGTTTTCATTTCTTGCAAGTGACAGTTTAACAAAAAAATTTCATCCAAATTTGGCTAGCCAGCAGCCTTTATGGAATTTTAGAGTATGGACTGTCAAAATAATTTCTCTTTGCTTTTGACAAGCAACAGTGATGGCCTCTGTATTAGTCTGTTTTCATGCTGTTGATAAAGACATACTTGAGACTGGGCAACTTAGAAAAGAAAGAGGTTTAACGGACTTACAGTTCCACATGACTGGGGATGCCTCACGATCATGGCAGAAGGTGAAGCAGGAGCAGAGACATGTCTTACATGGCGACAGGCAAGACAGAATGAGAGCTCGTGCTGGGAAATTCCTCCTTATAAAACCATCAGATCTCATGAGACTTACCAGTATTATAAGCACAGCACAGGAAAGACTCGCCCCCATGATGCAACTTCCTCCCACCGGGTCCCTCCCACAATACGTGGGAATTCAAGATGAGATTTGGGTGGGGTCACAGTCAAACCATATCAGCCTCTTTCCTCAAAACCTATGCAGTAATGCAATTGCCTCATGAGTTTACATGTTTCTTATGCATCTGGAAGAGGGTCATTCTTTTTACTGACAGCAAGAGCAGAACTAGGTTAATGAGATCATGTCTTGTTCTGGATGGCAGTCTTATTTGGCATACAGTATGGTAGGTTGATTAAATGCATTCTAACTTCTCTACACTCTTTTAAAAAGCAGGTATTGAGGCGATTGCTTCTGTTGCTACCAACCCTATCAGCTATGACTGCAGCGTCATGTAGTGGGTAGTGTATTATCTGTTCATACCAATTCAGTCAAGTTAGCCTCTTTCCTCTGTAGGGGCAGACTCATTGACATCTCAGAAAACATATAATTGGAAAAATGTGCTCCATATGGAGTTCAAAATCTACAGGTTGTTGTTGTTGTTGTTGCTGTTATTCTATAAGGACTCTTTCCTAAAATGCAATATGTGATTTTTTAATACATTACACTGACTACAAGGTTTTCATTGATGCCAGTCATAATGAATGTGCAAATTGTGTGAAATAAAGTGAATATTACGGTGCAGTCTTTGGAACTTTTCCTTGAACATATTCTTCCATCTCCCTGCTTTGGCTCCATATACTAATTCTTAGAGGCAGCAAGAACCACATTGACCCTAATGACCTGTTCAGGACTATCTTTCCCTAAGCTTAACTTTTAAAGGAAAGGCAGAAGTCACCTGCTCCTGAGTGGCTATCCTCCTCCGCAGGGAGACTGACAGGCCTCTCAAAAGCCTGACTCGGCTGTAGCCAACACACCATTTATCACTAAGACAATGGACCAAAAGGTGTCCCTTTGCTAACTCAAGCCCTTTATCTTAAAGTGTCCTTATTCACCAGGAAAAGCAAAACAAAGCAAAACAAACAAAAAATGTTCCATGACTATTTCTGCTCATTGAGAGGTTTTGTTTTCCAAATTAGTTTCAAACAAATTGTGCTGAAGAGTATAGGTTGATGGACGTCCATCTCCTCCAAAATCTAGGTGAAAATCTCTTCTAAACCTACATGTGTTTGGATTAAGAGAACGCCAGGGAAAATTAAAATTGGAACTAATGGCACTTTGGGAGACCGAGGCGGGCGGATTGCTTGAGTCCAGGAGTTAGAAACAGGCCTGGACAACATAGTGAGACCTCGTCTCTACCCCCAAAATACAACAAATTAGACCAGCGTAGTGGTGGACACCTGTGGTCCCAGCGACTCTGCAGGCTGAGGTGGGAGGATGCTTGAGCCGGGGAGGCGGAGGTTGCAGTGAGCCGAGATCGCACCACTGCACTCCAGCCTGGGCAACAGAGAGAGTCCTTGTCTCAAAAAAACAAAAACA